TGCTGGAGAAGCATTTTTCTCTTTTCAAGCAAGAGTAGGGGTGGAGATACTTTTTCTTGTTTTGTAACTTCAGCCATTTATTCTTCATCCCAGTGTTCTGCAGTTACCCTACCATGCTTCCCCTTCCAGTTGTCTTTGGCAGTGGGAGGTGAATCAGTGGATGTGGGACTGAGTATTTTGAGCTGCTCAATCTGCCTGTTAATTGCCAACCAAAAATCTGATGCTCTGTCTTGTCTCTAACCATCTTTTGATTAAAAGTATAACCTACTGAAGGTGCAAGCAGTGACCTTTCCAACTATATTTTGAACTGGCATAGCAGGGAAATCTGGGAAGGACCGAAGCAGAATATACACACGCCAGGAATTTTGCCCTCAGATGCTGTTTTACTTCCAGAAGTTCAGATGCTACATGCTAGTGATATTTTAATATTTCTACTGGCAGACTGGCTTCTTAGTGTTTTCTCTTTGTTTGACACAGGAAAGACCTTGAGCTACTGGTGCTTCAGCCCTGGGCACAGCATGCACGAGCTCGTTCGACAGGGAGTCAGGACCATTATCCTCACTAGTGGGACCCTCTCCCCCCTCTCATCCTTTACAATGGAAATGCAAATGTAAGTGCCCAAATGTATGATCAGTGCCATTATCAAATGACACAATCTGCTTGTGTGATTTTAGGTTTTACTTCAGGATTTTGAAATGTTCTGGACTGGTAGCCAGTAGGGAATCACGGGAGTGTGACCAGGTTCTTACTCTTGTGTTTCTTTAGCCCTTTTCCTGTTTGCTTGGAGAATCCTCATGTTATTGAGAAACACCAGCTTTGGGTTGGGATCATTCCCAAGGGACCTGATGGAACCGTGCTCACTTCTACCTTTGAAAGAAGGTAATGAACTTCCCTGTGGAATTCTGTTCTAAAGTCTTGGTTTCTGACATTTTGGGTTCTGCCCACAGCAGGGTGCTGGTGAAAGAGGTGCTCTCTGAAGTCCTTTTCTTGGATGATCACTATGCTGAATAATAATGCCCTTTAACTATTAACTATTGAACATTTAGAACTGGAGGGCTGGGCCCTGGCTGGTAAGACTCCTGCCCTGCTACCTTCAAATCATGCTCAGGTGCCACTTCCCAGTCCCTTAGGGAGCAGTCCACCCTTGCTGACTTGGACCCCCACCCTAAATTTCTCTGCTGAAGGGTGAACATGACTGGCCTTTGCAACAGCTATTTCTATATTTAAAGCTTGTCACCATGACCAGCCTCTCCCTTGCCTCTGCATTGCCTTCTTAAGGAAAATATATCCAAATATTTGTCAAGAGTTGCAGTCTTTGAAGTGAGGATCAGGTCCTGTGTGTGACACACATGCTCTTCTGTTTAACTTTCTTCCTGTAGCTCACATATTTTTATGTTGGCACATTCTTAAATCTATTTCAGCCAGAGATTTGTATATAAAGTTGAATCAGAGAATTCTGTAATTCAGCCTCCTGCAGGCCTGACTTGCTCTTTTTCAGCAATACAGAAAAACAAAATAATAGATTTCCAAGAGCTTTTACAGGGAAAAAGAAGAGAGGAAGGGGGAAATGCCCAGATATTCCACTGAACTGGAAAGGGACTCAGCAATTGTAATTGATTTTTACAGGGAAGTAGTAGTCTGGAAAGCCCTTAGACTGTATTTTTCATTTTCAGAAGCTTACCTGTTGTTTCAGTGTATTTTGTTGAAGATACTGGCTTGAGGAGGGGTGGGGATCCACCCCCCAAGGCCTAGAGCACCTGCTTTTTGCAGGAAGGGAATTCACAGTGTTTGCTGTGTTGTGATAAGGGCTGTGTGGGGATACCAGTAATTATAGGTCTTATAAAAATAAATGTGTTGGTTGTTTTTTTTCCCTGCATATGTAAGTTTCTTGGGAAACAGCCTGCAAAAGTACAGGGTACTAAAAATAATATAAAAGCATGAGAGAACAGGTGACCTCCAGGGCTGGAAGAAACAGATCAATGCTGCTCATTGCAGAACAGTCCTTTTTCAGTCAAAGCAAAAGAGATTTACTTGGCTTTGTGCAACGAATAAATAACAGCCATAGTAACCAAATTCACCCTTTCTGCCCATGCAGCCTCACCACACCTGGTTTATCAATAGCTGTAAGTTTCATCATGCTTGGCAGCACCTGCAGACTTTTCTGGCACAACTTGCACCCTCACGTTGTTAGCATGAAACTCCTCTGGCTGCCAAGTCCCTCTTGTTGCATTCTGTTAACATTGAAGCTTAGAGCATCTTCAGTGCTGATGGCAAGAAGATGGAATAGTGATAGTGAGGTGTAGTCAAGATATTAACAATCTTGTTTCCTTGGTGTGGGTGATTGCCAGAGGAAGGAGGGCAGTAGGAATAGGGAGCTGCTACTGCAGATGAGTCTCAGAGGAGCTCAGTATGGATGAAAAGCACAGAAAAGGAAACATAGTTATGGTGCTTGATTTTTCTTCTTTGCAGGTTTTCAGAGGATTATTTATCTTCTCTGGGGAAAACAGTTGGTAAGTGAAGTGTGTGTATTTCAGAAATGACTTGTTGCATAGGATTTCTAGAAATCTCCTGGAAGGAAAAGTACTAAAAAGACCTAATAAGGCAGGAAGAGGTAAAGAGATGCATTGCATATCTAAATGCTGTCTGGTTCCATGTGCTTCTCTTTGCTCAGGCAGCTGGCTCCTGGAGTTGCACACAAACTCCTTGGATTAATATTTCCAAGCCAGGAGTTTATTGTTGTTGTCAAGTGTTTGTGTCTGGGTAAAAAATGTGGTTCCTAAACCTGCTCAGAAAACGAAACAAACTAGAAAATCAGTGCACAGAGATGAAGCAGCCAAGCATCATTTGCAGAGCAGCTGAGGATCACAAGAAGCCAATACCATTTCTTGTGTTATTTTTGAAGGCCCTGCATCAAACCTGCCTTAGTCAGCATTTATTGTTTTGGTAATGTTGGACAGATAAAATGGAACTACACAATTTTAACAGATGAGGGCAATAAAAGAAGAGCTTTTGTGTAATTTGGCTGAGTAAGATTGAAAGTAGCCTGTTAAATCTAGAAATGTTTGAAGGAAGTAGGGGTGGCTGCTCTGAGGTGTTCAGCTTGGGCTAAAAGGTGAAATTAAGAAGATGCTTTCACAAAATGCTGGATTAATGTTTCCTCAGTAAAACATGCTATTTGACTAGAAAACCCACATAAGCAATCTTGTGGTGCCTCAGCCATTGCCTTGAATGTTTAGGCTGCAATGGACAGAGTGGAGAAAATAATCTAAAAATCAATCCTGCTGTCACAAGGGAAAAGGGGCAGATGATGTCTCTTCCATCTATAGTGTTTGGTGTAGCTCCTCATGTTTGTTTTTTTCTGTTACCACTACACTTTAGAAAGCTAGTTGGACATTTGTATTAATGTTTATACCTTCATGACAATATACATTATTGAAATGATTTTAAAAAAATAAACACAAACTTCCACCCAATACATGAATGCTCACATCAAGCAAGCAGAAAAGACTTTAGGAAGCAAGCCATGCTGTTAGTTGGTTTTGCTTTTAGAGTTTGGCTCCTCCACCCCTGGCTGAAGATGCCCTCAGCTGGACACTTTCCTGTCTCCTTGCAGGTAACCTGGTGCGAGTTGTGCCACATGGCCTCTTGGTCTTCTTCCCATCCTATCCTGTCATGGATAAGAGCCTGGAGTACTGGAGGGTATATTCATTGCTCTGCCTTCATTGGGTGGTTCAGTTACACACCAGTTTGTAGTTATGCTGTTGTATGCTGTATGTTATGTTGCTCATTAAAAACATTGATAAGGAAGTAGAAACCCAAGCCAGGCTTCTTTTGATCACAATGCCCTGAAATGTGATGGTGTAGAAACCAAACAAAAATAATCTTAATATGTTATCTGGTCTCTTAGTGCATTTAATTTTACCAGACTTCAACCTCCAAATTATGGTTGGTCCAAGTGTTTCAACTCTTAGGGGAAAAGAAAAATCCCAATATGAGCTTTTAGCTTTCATTTTTAATTTGTAACTTTTGCAAGTGTAACTTTTGTAGCTGTTGCTCATGGCTTGTGTGTCCCTGGTGAAACTTGGTAGAACAGTTCTGTTTTAAATGCTCCTGCTCCCTACAAGTGAATGGTGGGACAGAAGTGTCCTGCTGGGAGGTGGGTGATGGGAACTTGCAAGATGGAAGGAGAAAAAATTGACACTTGTGTCTAGTGGTGTCTGAGTTGCATCAAATGCAAGGAATCTCTGCTGGTGGTGGGACTGTGTGTTTCTGCTTCTGCCTCTTCCTGTGTTTGCCAAGAGAGGAGCAGACTGTGTTGGGGAGGTCCATGGTGACCACTCAAATGTGTGTGCTGATCACACGTGGCTGGTGCTGATCTGTTCATTGTTCTTTGTTCATTGTCTGTAACAGGAACACGACTTTGCCAAGAGAATAGAGGAAGTGAAGCCGATGTTTGTGGAGCCCAGGAACAAAGGAAGCTTTGCAGAGGTTGATTGCTTGCATTACATACCTCTGGCATGTTAAGAAACTGTTTTGGTGTTTAAATACCCTCTCTAAGATGTGTTTAGGTGTGAAACAGCACCCAAATGTTATCCTAGGATCTAATGAAAATGCTCTGAGAGCTTCTTTGAAGTATAGTTCTGGGCATCCTTTACTCCTCTGGCTGGATGTGCAGGGTACATTCCTACTTTGAAATCTCCTCATGTAACAGCAGCCAACACACATGGACTGAGGGCTGGAGGTGGCAGAAAGCTGCCACTTCAGCAGGCAGCATCTTCTGATGTTCTGTGGGGCGGTTCCTCCCAGCTTGTCATATTCTGGCTGTTAAGGAACTGTGCAATGTCATCTTCTTTATTTATAACTGTTCTGTTTGCTTCTTGGAGTAAATAACACCCTTGAGTTGCTTCCCTGGTTTGCCCATTCTACTCAAGGCTCTGCAGAAGCACAGGGCAGTCCATGTTCTGCCTTTTCACAAGAAGTATCTGCCATTAATCCTTTATGCTTACCTTGAGGTGTCCTGGATTTCCCAGGAATGTAAAGGGGTTGCTAAGGAAATGGCCCCTCATATTTGCTGTTAGTAGCAGTAAAGAACATTATACTAAGCCAGCTTAATTTCACTTGTTCACAAGATCTAAAATGTGATTTAGCTGGTGAAGATGTCTATCTGTGCATGTGCAAAGGGTGATACCATTCATGCTTTTGCTTAAACTAGTTTATCTTGTAGGTGATGGGAGCCTACTACAATAAAGTTGTCTGTCCTGCATCCAATGGAGCTGCTTTCCTGGCTGTGTGCCGGGGAAAGGTACTAAAACTGAGCCTTGGTTTCCTCTGAGATGAGATTGTATAGTTGATGGGGGGGAAACATTTTGGATCTCAGTGTGTTTCTGTTAAGAGACTGCAATTATGTGTGGGGAAAAACTCCCAAGAAAACTGGGATGCCCTGAAGCCTTGTAGAAATTGTGTCAAGTTCACATATGCCTTATTCCTGCTTGGATAAAAGGGATCAATCTCTGAGGTCTTGTGAAGATGATGCTCATCCCCTTCACATTTCCTGGTGGCTGCTCACCAAAAACCCATCTCATCAAATGGGAGCAACAGTATTGGAGGAGAACTAAGAGAAACATTTCTAATTAAACGTGTTAAAACAACACTGCTGAAAACCAAAAATATTGTTCAGCTTTAAAGAATTTACATTAACTTCAGGTCCTCTGGACACAGTTTCATTTACATTTTCCTGTGCTGATAAATTGATTTGTGATACCGGTGGAAATATCTGCAAAATGGTAAATAACATTTAAGGCTTTTTTGCTGCTGCTTCTTATCTACTGAGGGAAGATTCAGCTTCTTTTGAACTATTCCTAACGTGTTCATAAACTAGACTTGGCTGGGGGTTTAATTTAGTGGAGAAAAAAGGCCAATAACTGCTGAATTGTTTGGAAAAGTCACTTCAAATCCTGTTGATGATGGAAGACCCTGTCTCTTTAGGCCAGTGAAGGCTTGGACTTTGCTGACAACAATGGACGAGGAGTCATCATTACTGGGCTTCCGTTTCCTCCTCGCATGGAGCCCAGGGTCGTTCTGAAGATGCAGTTCCTGGATGAAATGAGAAAAAGTGGTGCAGGTGCTCAGGTAAAGCTGGGCAGCTTTTCACTGCTGCCTGGTTGCACATTCCTGTCATCATTTCTCCTTCTCTCTGAATGGTTTGGGTTGGAAGGCACCATAAAAGATCGTTTAGATCCAACCCCCCTGCGTGGGCAGGGGCACCTCCCTCTAGACCAGGTTGCCCAGATCCCCATCCAACCTGGCCTGGAACACTTCCAGGGATGGGGCAAAGTTATCTTTCTGAGGGAATAACTTCATCCAGAGAGAAGGTGGGCAGCATTGCCTGTGCTTGGCTGTTTTGGGGATTTTTGTTTTGATGGTTTGAGGGGATGAATACTGTCGGGTTTGGTTGCTTGGCTTTGGCTTGGCTTTGTGCTTGGGGTTTTTTCCTGTTGCTTCAGGCAATGAACAGCATTATAATTTTAGCTTTTTGTCCTGCAGGAGAGCAGCTGCTCTTAAGTAATATGGTGGGTCTGTTGTACATACCAGGCTGTCAGTGCATCACACACTGAGCAGTAACTGGATGTTGCTGATTGAGTGTTCTGGGCACCAGAATCAGGTGTGATATCCGAGTCACCCCGTACTTGGTTTTCCAAGACACTGAGATGTGTTAGTAGATCTTGTTGGATACGTTTTTCTTCAGAAAGAGTGGCTGTACAGCAGGAAGGATGCATTTTACCTGGCAAATAATGTTAACTCTTTCACCCCCTGTTGCAGTATTTATCTGGGAGGGAGTGGTACAGCCAGCAAGCTTCCCGGGCCGTCAACCAGGCCATCGGCAGGGTCATCCGGCACCGCCAGGACTACGGGGCCATCTTCCTCTGTGACCACAGGTGATGCCTTCCCTCTGGAACATAAACATTCACCAACACCTTTATGTGGTATTTGGTATAAAAACATGCAGAAGTTACTCTTTGGAAAAGGCTACAGTTGACAATTAGATAATTTTGTGTAACAGGTCCTATAAAAATAGCACTGCTTCCAGACAGCGACTGGGTCATTGTCTTCTGCTGCCAGAACGTGTTGTCTTGGAGCTGGTGAGAAGGATTAATGGTGTTGATGGAAAATAAGCCAGTTAGTTGAATTTATGTTTGTAATTCTACCGGAAATTATGCGAATAATACTTAAACTTTTTCGTTGTCTCCATCTCTTATTTGAGGAGTCACTGCAGGTTTTTTGAGAGGAGGAAGATGAGATGAGGAGAGGTGATGTTGTTTCAGCAATGTAATAGTAGATCCATTATATACTAGTTAATATCCATTGATGTAATATTAATACAACCTGTATATAATGAGCACAAAGAGTTGGATTGGTAGCCTGCAGTGTGAGGCTTGATGGGGAGCAGTGAGCATGTCACAGTTCAGCACTACTGGAGACAGTTTTTATGGATTCAGGATGGGAATTGGCTGCTTTTGGGATACATGGTGTGAACAAAGCCCTATTCTCCTGGTGAAAACATCAGCCCATTCTATTTCTTGCACCGTTTCTGTTTTCTGTTGCCTTGCTGCTTCTCCCTTGTCCTTTTAGACCCTGATCTAGAGATTATTTAACTCATGTAGGTCAGCCTGGCAAGTAATTCTCTCCTTTTCCAACCCTTGGTAGGTTCACAACTGGGGATGTGAGAGGCAAGCTGCCCTCCTGGGTCCGTCCCTACGTCAGCGTCTATGACAACTTTGGACACGCAGTCAGGAGTGTCTCCCTCTTCTTCCGTGTTGCTCAGGAAATTGTAAGTGTCTTGAAAACTTGTTGGTTTTGTTTGGTTTGTTTTTTATTGAGAGTGTTGGAATCTGGGAGTACTAAGGCAGGTGAGAGACACGGTGGAGTCAGCTGTCACTGCTAAACACTGGAAGCTTTACAGGAAAGGGGATGTGGCTCATCTCTCTCCAAGCGTGAGCTGGGACAGGATGTGTTGTCATGTTGTGCAACTCATGAAGCTGGATCACAAAAATAACTTCCTTTTCTAGTCACTCCTGAGTAAACATACCTTCCACTGGATGGTGTGCAAATACTGGAACTGATGTTAGCACCAAGCAGCTCTCCACCTCACCCTCAGGGTGACAGTATGTGTGGAAGAGTCAGACCCTGACCTTCAAATCTAAGCTGACTGATACAAAGAGGTATCCAAGCCAAGTCCAGCTGTTGCTGTCACAGTTCATCACTGGGTCATCTTTACCAATCCAGCTTCTCTCTTAGGATTGCAAAGCTTTTTTCTCAGTAGTAGTTCTCTGATTTAAAAAAAAGCAATACTGTGAAAAGATAGCTTGGCTGGAAGCCAGAAGGGGGAATTGTGCCCAAAATGGAGGTTAATGTTAAAGTAAACACTCAAATTTTCACATACAGCCTTGGATTGCTTCCTGGAAGATGCTTGAGCCAAATACTAGTTATTCAGAATAATAAGTTACAGATGGGTAATACTGAATGACTTGATGATCTTTTCTGATCATAAACGGGAGTTTCATGGTAAATAAGAACCACAGCCCAGTGTGCGTTGTCAGGGGCAGCTGTGGTGCAGGAACAGTGTTAGGAAGAAGTTGTTCTTCAGGCAGGTCATGACCCTTTTTCTGTTACACAGGTTACTGAGTTTTAAGCCTTGCTAGACTTTATCTGTGTCACCTCCTGGTGATTTGGTCCTTTTTTGAAAAGCATGTGATTCCAGAATGCATAACAATCTTGCTGTCAAGGAGGTGATGTCTTTGGATTGTTGCTGAGATGTTTGGTGGCAAAAGAAGTGGAGTGGTGGAGTATCTTTTGCCTACTCTAACACTTTGTAAACTGTTTGCAGATGCCCCCACCCCTGCCACAGTGCCTTCCTGCCTCTGCTGGTTCCCTCAGTGAAAACACAGCACCATCAACTTCAGCTGAGCAGATCCTCTCTCTGAAAAAAGCCAAAAATTTGGATGACCATGTTCCTAGTTTGAAGAGGAAAAGAAAAGGTAGGTTTGAGTCCTCACAGATACACTGTTCTTTTGTTGCAAGGAGAACCAAACAAGGAAGAGTAAGAGACTGGAAACAGGAATGGGAGAGAAAGCAAGGAGAGCTCAAAGACTGATGTGAAAGCCTGATTAAAAGGGACATTGCTCAGCATTAGAAAATGGGGGAACCAGCTGCAACTACTGGGCAAAGAGGCAAATAGGGCCTGAAAACGTGTCCTGCAGAACAGGTGGGGTGTGGTGGAATATCATAGATAATATATAAGAGCTGGAAGTCTGTTTCTGACTGGCACTGACTTTCATTTATCCTTCTTCCATGCTATTGTATGAATGACACAAAGAGAAAACTGAGTAAGGAAACAGGGCATTGACCTTGGGGGTAAAAAACCCCAGTATCTTAACATTTCTGGTGAGCTAATGCCAAAGAAGAAATTGTATCTCACATCAGATATTCTTTCAGAATGTTCTACTCTGGGTGGCTTGCTGTTCTGGAACAGAACAATGAAGTTGTGTTTAAAACTGGTTCCAAACTAGTTGTGACTGAGTGTGAGGGTGATTTGTTGTTACAGTGTGGCTGCAGGTTGTCCTTGGAAGGGTTTTCTTTGGCCTCTGCATTTTTTCCCCTCAATTTCCAGCCATGTGCTTGTGCTCCTTCCCTTGATGTGAATTTACCTGTTGTGCAGCTGCAGAGCAAGCAGATGAGCTTGCTGAACCAATTCACCTTTTATCCATGTGGCTGGTAGATCCATCTCAAAGAATGGGCTGGAATGTGTGGCTGGAAGTGAAAGGAAGAAGCTGCCTCTTTTGAGAGGCCTTTTCAGTTGCATCAACTGTAGCATCAAACTACACCTGTGCTCATAGTTCTGGCTAAAGAGTTTCTTATACAGGCTTTTAATTAATACTTTTCTAAATTATTGTTTAGATATTTATAAGTGTGTAAGTATAAATCAATTTTATGTAACATTAAATATTATTATATTAAATTGTTAATAATTTTCACATGCAATATACCTCCAGTCTTCTCAAAATAGTAGCTTTTCTTAGTAACTGCTGAAGTAATTTCACAAAACAGTGGAAATATAGTTTGAGGAGAGTGCCTTTCAAAAGTAGCAAACAGATGCTGACTTAACACTGCCTACAGCTCCAGATTCTTCTGTTTAAAACCAAATACACCTGGATCCTGATTAGCAAGAATATGTATTCTTGGGACCTGAGGGTGTCTGTGTCTTACAGGTATTGATACTGTGAGAACTGTAGGCTTTAAAAACACTTGTTCCATTTAATAAATCCTATTTTGTGCCAGAATCTCTTAAATAAAACAGGAACTCAGTATTGGGGAAATCCATGAAGTTGAAGTAGTTAAACACAGACAACTGCAGTAAGATTTTTTTCCATTGGTCCTAAGCATTTTTGAGGTTAAATATGACCATCACTTAAGGTAAAGCTTGAGAAGCCCAACAGGTTGTGGTAACAAATGCTTGAGCAATGTTGGGTGTCAATGACCAAAGCAAACTTCTTACTAAGTCACATAATGCAGTTTTGCAAGACATGGAAAGTTAAACAAACCAGCACATCTTTGTGGATTGCTACATGGGATTTTGAGGTAATACTAAGTCAAATAAAATGCGGGAGATAATGTGGAATGTTAATTTGTCATCTCTACTGTGCTTTGGTGCCAGTAAATGGAGATGGAGGATCCAGCCTGTGCACTGAGTATGAACAAGAGGTCCTCTCCCCTGGAAGACACTGTGCTGGGCTTCTGGATGCTCTGGAGCGCAGTGAGAAGAGCAATGAAGATGTAGAGGAGGAAAGTGACTGGACAGGAGAGGAGAAGGTAATGGCAATGGCCTGGGAGGACACTGGCTTGTGAGTACTATGCTCTAAAGCAGAGTGAATTAGTCATGGATTTCAGAGTACCAGTTCAACCCTCATTCAGGAGGAACTCAATGTAGTTGGCACCAGTAACCACAAGTTCTCACAATGAAGCTTAATCAAAGAGTTTTCTTACCACGTTCAGTGAGATAACAGCAGGTACCTGCATGTGCTGTGCTCCAGAGCTGCTGACCACGTAGATTCCTGGAAGTTAACCATGCTCTGGAGGGCAAATTGCTCTAACAAAGAGCTTGGCAGACACTGTTCCTCCTGGGCGTGATCTGCGTCAGCACTTGGTGTGTGACCAGAGACTGAATTTAAGAGAGGGTGGGGAAGAGGTGATGAATTAGAGGCTGCACTTTCATCTGAAAGTCTCTCATTTGCCTCAGAGAACGAATCTCCCAGACTTGGGCAACATTTTATCTGAATTGAAATTCCACAACAAAGCTTCTGTGCTGTTCATTTTCTTTCTTCTTGGGTTGGTATTTTGCATATGTCAGTGAGCAGGCTGTGCTCTTGCTTTCCCAAAATCCCTGCTTGCAGATGTGGGTGCAGCAGGTCCCTGGCAAGCAGCAGCAGGGATGTTTTACTGCTGGGTTGCAGACTGTTTGGCTGCTGCGTGTGGCCTTCAGGAGTGTCTATTGCAACATGCCAGGGTAATTTGCTCCGGGGAAAAATGTCTCAGGGGAAGTGTGGGAGCGTAAGGAGGATCTGGGGGGATATCTCAGGAGGTCTAGGGGGGATGGATGGAGACAAGTGCAAAACAGAGAATGTGCAGACCTGGAGAAAGGAACAAGCCCTGCCCATCTTTACTGGCATGTGGCTGATTGAGAAACTGACTCCATCACCCATGGGCCACCATGACACAGACACCAGAACGGATTCTTTGGAAAGCCTGGCACACCCCCAGGGATTTGCTAAGCCAGCTGCAGGAACTGGTTAGCAGAGCTGCACAGCCTTTGGCAAAGCTCAGCAGTTCCTCAAATCAGATCAGTCCATGGTCCCAACAGCTGGGCAGCGAGTCAGCTCCTGTCTGCTGGCTCTGTTCATCTTCACCACCCATCTGCAGAGCAGTGGGGGCATCCTGGTCTGCACTCAAATTGATGACCTGTGGCACCAGAGAAGTGGGGAGTCTGTTCCTGAGATGTGCAGTGCCTCTGGCCATCTTGCACTTGGAGCCCAGTACTGAGCTGATTTCCCTAAGCACTGGCTTTGGACAGTGGTGGGGTTGGTGTGTTCCAGGTTTCTTCACCAGCCACTGTAGTACCTGGGTAACTGCTTTTTTTTCTTTACTCAAGGTTATACTGTTCCCTAAATAATGGAAATGTAGCTGTTGTCATTCTGAAACAATTTGCTTGGTGTGAAAAAGAAGAAAAGAAGCCCTTTAAAGAATTATTTGACAGTTCCTCATACTCACTTTTCTTTGGGAGATGTACTTTATGGAAACTTGTCTTTCAGGAGCCTTATTTCTTCTGGATCGTGCTGTTCAAGGTGGCACCTTCACATAGTCCAGGATTATGATGGTTTTGATCTTCTGACTTATTGCATGTATCATAAATGTTAGACTTGCTGCCAGTGTTCCAGTTCTTCATTCCATAACATGACTTTAAAATAAAATATAGTTAAATATGCTCATGACTGTCTGCCATTCAGGATCCTTGCAGTATTATGACTGCACTGAAGGGTGATACTCAGAAATACAAACAACTGACTCTACAAACTGTCAAATCTGAAGTTACTGGCTTGGGGTTGTGTTTATTTTTAGTGGTGGTCGTTTATTTGTAGTGAGTTTAATGTGACTGTGAAGCTGTGTGATCTGAACAGATGTGTTTAGAAGTCACAATGGAATGTGGGGGTACTGTGACCTTTCACTGGTTCCTCTCAGGTGAACCCCCCTATTCTTTAAATGCACTGATAGTCATCTATTCACTATGAAATCCCTTATTGGGCAAGAGGAAATAAATCACTTACCTGTAGAAACCAGCAAGATGGGGCTGTACCACAGTGTCTTCTGGTTCTTAGGTGATGGTTTTTAATGTGGTTGATATTGGTTTGATATAATACTGGAGACTCTGCTGTTGCTGTCATTTAGGTTGACTTGTTTTACTTTCTGGAACGGTGTCTCAAACTGGGTTAACAATTACCACTGGAAATGGGTACATTAAATGGGCAGTAACTTTGAGAAGCATTTTTTGGACCTGTCATCTTTTAATCTTCACAGGCACAACGTTTGTCAACACTCTCCCTTCAGTATGAGAAGAGGTTAACAGATGAGCAGAAAGGAGGAAGGAAGAAAATAAAGCTCATCAGCAATACAGTATGTGTTCCCATGTCTGTGCCATCCCTCTGCTCTGCAGATCAGCTCTCATTTGAATTGCAAATCTCCTGGCAGACAGATGACTGATGCCAGAGCAATTATGTTTTTTCTCCAAATTGTAAATATGCACTAATGCACATCTGAAGTCTATTTCTGTCATGCTCTTCCTCCAGTCTTGACGTCACAGACCCCACCAAGCACAGGTCCAAGCAGGCTTAGTAGGTGAAAATAATTATTTTCTGGCATTGACTATCTTGCCAATATCTCCCATTGGCCAAATGGGTGGTTTCATTATTTTGGACTAGAATAGAGTAGTTCAGTGGGAAGGGACCTACAACGATCATCTAGTCCAGCTGGTAGAGCCTTCAAGTGGTAAAACTGACCAGTTTCATTTGGATAAGTGGTCACATCCTAACCCACCTATGGTGGTGTGTTGCTCTGTGCTTTGTCTGCAGTTGGGCATTGTTGTTTTGCCCTGTCTTCAAACTCAGCTAATTCATTATGCAGTGTAAGAGGCATGACAAATTCACAAGAATCCCCTGGGTGCTGGTGTGTGCCAGTAGTTGTCCAGGGTAGTGTCCCAGCTGGGTGCTGGCTGTCAGACTCTCAGACATCCAGCAAAAAAACTGACCTAAGTAGTCACTGATTCTGGAGCAATAGTATCCAAAGTGTGGGGAAGGGAGCAGGTTCCTTGCAGAGGCTGTGTTTGGAATTTGTTGCCATCTGAATGTCAGGGTGAGTCAGCTACCCCTCAAGGTAAGGAGTAAATGTCACTTCTCTCATTAAGCCCTCTCCTAAGAATTGTGCAATGAGACTTGGCTGCCTTCTCTAGGAATATTCCTCTGAAGCAGGCAGCTGTGTCAGCAGGGAAGGGGCTCCTCTGGGAGGGAATGGAGGCTCCCAGGTGACAGAGGGGTTCATGTCTTAGAAACAGGCACAGTGATTAGCTGGAGCAGTGAGCAATGTGCTGTGCCTCTGAGATTGGCCTCCTTGATGCTGGGTTTTGTCATGAAGACATGTGACAAGGGTCCAACAGCTTGTGCTCCACATGTGTGCACTTTAATGCCTGGTCACTGTCACAAAGGTTGTTCTGGACCTTTGTTAACTCCTTGCTGCTTGTGATAGTAGCAGAATGTTTCCCAGCAAGGGAGACCAGTCTGGCTTTCTCTAGCTTCGAGAAATGTCTTGGAGGAACCCAAATACTTGAGCACCTTCCATTCTTTGTGTCTCCTGCTTCAGAGATTGATGTTTTGCAGTTAACAGGACATTTCCAGGAGGCAGGCTGGTTAGATTTGTGTTTATTTCATGGCAGTGAAGCTGTTTGAGTGTTTTTTGAGGGAGAAATAACACATGGATGTCATAGGGGTGATTACCAGAATTACAAGAGACAGTAACCTGTTAGTTGAAAGCACTTGTTGTTTTATGTGTTGGCAGAATTGTGAATATGTTGCTTCCATCTGGATTCAGGTGAGACGAGCTCCTCAAGTCCAACTATTTACTGGAAACTTCCTTCCTTCCTTCACAGCAAGTTGATAAGAAAGCAGACCCAGCAGAGCCCAAGAAGGCCCGAGCGACTCTCTACATCGCAACGGTGAAGGAGACTCTGAGCCAGCAGAACTATGAGCTCTTCTCTAAGGCCCTTCAGCACTACAAGACAACAGATGACTTCCCTGCCATGTTATCTCAGATGAGCTCCCTCTTTACAGAGGATGAAAACAAGCATGTCTTGTTACGAGGTGTGACAGCTTTCCTAGTGTGTTTGTGTCATGTGAATTTTGTCTTTTGAGCAGAGGTGGTTTAGACTGGAGGTGCAGCTCTGTCAGGATGAGGATCCTTAACATTCATCCCTTTATATCCCCAGATCACTCAGGAAATCTTCTCAACCTAATTATCATAGATTAGTTTGAGTCTTGACAGGCCTGAATAAAAATCACGTTCCATCAAAGCTTTTGTTAATTTTAAACTTTGCCTAGAAGTAGTACAGCTTGTTCCCTGTGGTTTGGGAGGTGAGAGCAAGAGTCTGGTTGTGCGAGTTGGGTAGATGCATTTGGGAGGGTTCAGTGTTGAAGCAGTAGACACAATATCTAGAGAAATTTTCTACTTAAATTATTGTGAGTATAAAGCAGGTGACCTGGGCCAGGGGGGCCCATTGGCTGAGGCAGCTGGTATCTTCTTGCAGCTTTTAACAGCTGCATTAGCAGGAACTGGACAGTGTCTTCTCCCTGAATTTTCCTTTCCCTTTCAACTTAAGATATTTTTCTGGGACTTCCTTCATCTACTAAAAATTTTAAAAAGCAGTTATGCATCCTGGAAATTGCTTAAGGTTATTTTCAAAGTTCAGGGATGGGAAGCTTAACCTGAGCACTTGGTACTAAGAGGGGCCACAATCTGCTTCCCAAGTCACTGATCTTATTATATAAATAAAAAAAATACTGGTTTGCCAAATTAAGGCTTAAGTCTAGTTTTCCAATGTGACAGGCACCTGAAACCTAAAGTTCATCTGACATTTAGGCTTTTGGTTGGCAAGCACTTCCTGGTAAGTAAGGGATAACATCCTATCAGTTATCCAACACACCAGCCCAGCGGGTACGACCTTTGCCACAAGTAGCGGTTTCACCACGAGGTAAAACATCTTTACAGTGAGAAGAGTTATGGTTATTACCTACTGGTAATGATGTTGCTGGAAATTTGCATGATATTGACCTTTGTGGAACTTGCAAGTGTCTTTATTGTATAAATGTCAGATAGTGCTGTTTAGATTCTAAGTTACTTACCATCCATTCCTGCCCTAGTCCTGCTGCTGTAGGTTTCTGTGGCACCTATTGCTGGTGGTGGGACTGTGTCTCTTATTTTTTTTTAATTTCTTCCCTTCCTCCCCCTCTCTCATGACAGGATTTTACCAGTTTGTTCGGCCTCAGCATAAAAAGCAGTTTGATGAAGCCTGTTGCAGTCTGACTGGAGTGGGTTGTGGCTACAAACCTGAGCACAGCCTGCTGCGGGAGGAGAGACAGACACTGGCCAAGGAGGGAGGTGAGGAGCTTGTGTCAGGCACCTTTGTGTCATTTGATGGGTATTACCCAATTGTGGGGCAAGATGTGTCTTCATATGTAGAAAGGCAAAGGTGGGAAACAATTTAGTTTGATCAATATTGAGCTAAACCTCCACTCTGTGTGATCCTCCCCCTGAGCACACACAGGTGCCCAAGCATTGGTTACTGCCTGGTGAGTAATGATGCCCCATTGCTAAAGGGGATCTTACAGACTATTTAAAGTAAGAACCTAATCTGTGGTTTTAAAAACTTTGTTTGTTTTCTTTGCTGCCCACGTAATGCCACCAGAATTGTCAACAGAGCTGGTGAAGTATTTGAGTCCCTGGACAATAAAGGCCTAAAAAAAGCAAAGTGTGAGCTCATCCCCCTTACCAGGGAAGTTCAGCTCTGTGTTTATATCAGGTGTTTGCAGCACTGAGTGGCATTCTTGGAAGTTCACTATTCTGTGTTCATTTTTCCCCCAAGTTGACTGATAACAGACTGGTTTGATTCAACAGAACTAAAACAGAGTCAGCAGAAAACTGCCTCCTCCAAGGACTCGTGTGCTCAGCTGAACTCTGGGCTGCATCTGAACCGTGGAGGGTGTCACTTGACAGCAGGGCTGAAGAGAGCAGGTACCCACAGTCCCAGTAATATAGGTTGTGTGTTATTTCATCACTAACTATACTCCTCTGGTGGGAGCTTCTGTGCTCCCTTAGTAGAGTGGCTCACTCTGTAGGTAAGAGTGGTGGTAATTCAGAATTTTCAGCAAGGATTGTACCCAACAGAACAGAAAAACCAAGAAATTAAATTGAGGTGGATGTGGAAGAAACCAACTAAAGACAGAAGTTTGCAAACATCAGTGAGGGAAGGGGTGAGTTGAGCACAGGACTGCTGGGCTTCCTGTGAAAGAGACATTTAAGGAGTGTCATTTTAGATGAGGCCAATGTGGATCCAGGTATGAAGGATAAAAGCAGTTGTTGTTGGTCTTGTGCTCACTCCTCACGTGGACAGTCTGGCCTTTCTGCAGAATCAGACTTGCAAATGTGTTCTCTCAGCTGCACTAATCTCTGTCTGCACCCCTCTAATCTCCTTCTACCCAGTATTTATCTTTGAAGTCAAAGGCTCAGTTATGATTTCATTACAGATTTTCCTGAGAATAGCTGGGAATTTTTTTATTTCTTAAAAGGAAATTAGTAGGAATGTTGGGCAGCTTAGAAGCCCTTCTTTAAAGTGTAAAGAATAGTCAAAGGCCAATCCTTTCTTTAAAAAAAACTAAGTAAATAAAAAGCAGACATTTCCTGGAAGCCTTTAAAAGCTTTTAATGTATGGAGCTATGTTGTTTTTTAAGATTTGTTTTCCTGTTTTGGTTGGTATTTTAAGAACACCTGAAATAAACAATCTTTGGTAGTTACATTGTCCTGAGGCCCATCAGATTAATCTTCACAGAAACTTGTTTCCACTGAAAGTAATTCAGAAAATAATGGCAAGAAATGTATGTATTTCTGCTGCTCCCCCTTTAAGGAGGGCCTGCTCCTGTGCAGGTGCCAAGGAGCTGCGTGATCTGCAATAAAAAATACTGATTATAAAATTCATACCCGTGGTTTTCCCCTTTCAGGAAATGGAACTAAGCCCATGTTTTAAAATTTCATTACCTTCTTTACCTTCTTTAAAAGATCTGAGATCTAAATACCAAAAGATGTGGGTGGTTAATTTAAATGTATTTCTTATCATGTACTTCCTCCATATTTACATGCCTGTAATATGCAAACCAGACAGTTATCTTCTAATCTATCAGAAATCAAAGACTCAACATTCTGAAGAG